GAAATTATTTCTTTTATGAAGTTAAGTTTAATTGAAACGGCTGTGATAACTATATCCCAGCATGCTTTGATGGTGGCACTCGAAAGGGAGAGTAAATTCTAAAATTAAGTCTAATATAATGTTATTTTTTTTTTTTTCTGCATGAATTCCTGTATTTTATTCAACTGAGGCCTTTGGAACAACCAAAGGGCGTTTCTGTGGATATATATATATATATATATATATATATATATATATATATATATATATATATATTGTGATCTCAGCTTGTCAAAAAAGTTTTGATGTTGTTGTTGTGTTTTTTTACTCTTGCATCACTAAAATGAAAAAAGAAAGATGTTTAAGTCATTTAACTTAAATTACATTGAACTGACTTAAAAACTTTTAAGTTATACTTTGCTGAATCTTGTATAACTTATTAAAAACTTTTTACTGTATTGATATTCAAAGTTTTCTTTTGAAAATCAAGACACAAATAAAAGTTAATTTTGAAAAAAAAAACTGTTTTTTAAATGCATGATCTCTTAAGCTTCTGAACACTTTACCTGAAAACTGCAGACAATTCTACATGTTGATAACATTTTTAGGTTTTGCAGAAATGCATGTAGAGTTTCACTCTCATGAATTGAATAGAAGCCTATTCTTCCATTCTGAATTTTTAACACAGTCTCATCCCAAAAAGTCAAATAACTGACGTCTTGGGACGTCTTTTGACCATACGTCAATATCCGCCTTTTTAGGGCCCCCTTAAACGTCGGTTTAAAACGTCACACAACTGACGCTTTACCTTTAACGTCAGTTAGGTGACGGGTTAGGTTTAGGGTCAGGTTTAGGTCTGGGGTAGAGTTAGGATCCCATAACCTCATCTACCGACGTTTAAGGGGGCCCTAAAAAGGCGAATATTGACGTATGGTCAAAAGACGTCCCAAAACGTCAGTAATATGACGTCTTGGAATGAGACCGGGTTGGAATTTTGCACAACCCTGCACTGCACATCAAGTATTTTAAAATTAATCTTTTTCATTAACAGATATCTGCCCCTTAAGGAATGATTTCCTTTGCTAATATTTTAAATGATAGCAGTTTACACATTATACTAGTCTCCGGTTGAGGTGTCATGGGGTTGATGGACAAATATTATTCCTCTCTCGCAAACCGTGACCACGGTTGAACTTCCAATTTATCACATTCACATGATTCTTCTTAAAAACGTGTAGTTACTTTGCATCAAATAGTAACACAAATAGAAACCCACATGCACACTTGTCACCCAGTAGACTGGTGTGAATAGTGCAAGTTGATATGTGGAGTTTGAGCTCAGGGGACGCCAACCTTGAAGGTGGCACTCCTTCATCCATGAATGCTTCATTCACAACTCCTATATGCTCAAATGTATCACAACTCAAAACCTTGAGAGGACCTTGAAAAATCTCTCTTTTCATCTATATTTCATGGTGCCTTGTCAGATGGAATTATAGTGTGTTGCCATGTTCTCATGAAGAATACAGGGAATTTATTGGTGTGGCTTTCCTCTACCCCGTGGATGTTTATCCTCTGCTGGTTTGCATTTCGTCAGGGTTTGGCGGCACTTAGCCATCATCTTTTTCCCAAAAGCTTTATAAGCAACAGGAAGATTGGACTTTAAGTAAACAAGCAAACAAGTTCTGTATTTCCAAGCAAGATAATCACGTAGGAGTTTGCAGAGGCTGGTACCCCTGAATACACACTCCTCGTCCCTTCCCTGTTTGAGTCACACCATTCGGCAAATGCAACACCCACATGCACACACTCGTCGAATCTCGTACCTTGGATCTCATGTAGCTGCTCTGCACCATCTTGTGAAGCGAGGACCCTGTTTAAAGCATCTACCAGATACTACCAAATCACGCTAAATTAAACATGTTTCATTTTCTCCAAAATTAAATTGAACAGGCTTTTATTTTGTCGATCTGTCAGGGAGCATTGCCACATCCATCCATTACGGCTATGGCTGTCCTCAAACAGAAATCGATGGGAGGAAATTCTAGCTGTCAGATTGTCTTTAAAAATGTAGGAAGGCAGCTCATTCCAGTTATCACTTCAGAATGAAAGTGGGACAATGTTGTTACATCCCTCAACAGTAAAAAAAAAAAAAAAAAAAGAAGCTGTTACAGATATATGATAAAACTCTCTGTGGGCATTTGTCTGCTGCCTGGATATTCCTGGGGCACAGAGATACGGCCCTGCATTTTCTTTATCTGATGGGTCGATCGTGATATTTGCTGTATAACATTCTCTGTGCGTTAGTCTTTTGGTTCTTGTACAGTGATCAAGCAAAATATGTCAAAATCTGGTAATGAAAAACAATAAAAATAAACAAATCTATATGTTTAGTCCAATCCTTTACTTGTTTGACTGATTGCATAAATGGAGGAAATGAAAAATCCAATCCTATGTTTAATACATTTGTAAAGAAGAAAGCATAAATCATTTTATCTGCTATATTAAAATAAAATGTAAATATAGGCAGTAGGTTGATCCAGTTAAGCATCATATTTTTTTTTAAATTAAAAAAAAAGTCTTAATCCAGAGTATATGAAGAGTTCAGATGCAAAAGCCTCTAAATGCCATTTGAAATTTTCTTCTTTAATGATGATTTTTATCAAACTTGTATATTTAAGCCCAGTAATTTCACTTAAATAACAATTAATAGGTAATTATCATTGCCATTTAAGTGAAATCACTGAACTTAAATATACAAGCTTGATAAAAATGATCATTAAAGAGGAAAATTTCAAATGGCACTTAGAGGCTTTTGCATCTGAACTCTTCATATATTTAAAAAAAAATATTTTCTAAATTTAGATAAATTATAAACTTGTACAGTATTAATTAATGATACCTAATGCATTAACTAATGTAAACAACTTTAACCTTTTGTGCAGTTTATAAAACAGATTCACTTTTTAAATTTATAGTTTTATAGAATGTATAGTGAGACTCAACTGAAATTATATTTGTCGGCCATAAGTCTATTGCAATAATACTTTAATTTATAGTTGTACAATTGATATGAAAAAAAAATGAAACAATTAAATTGTACATTGCAATTGATTAGAACTGTACTTGTAGCAAACAACTGTGGCATATTCCTCTCCTTTTTTTCTAACAAAAATCATGAGAGCTAATATTTCTAACCTAGTAGAGACCTCACCACTGTAATAATGCAAACCAGCATGCCACTCACACATGGCCAAGTTGACCGTCAGAGCCCAGAACCATTGAAAGAAAAGCCCAGCCCAGCACAGACACTTCATTAACTGATAAGCATCTGGTCAGCTCTCTTCTCTAAGGTCTGTCTCCCTCCTCATCTCTATCTATCAGTCGTCAAAAAGCTAACGTATCAGTAAGGAGGCGGAGGAGGGTGAGGGGAAAATGCGATCCTCAAATCTGTCAGGATAATTGTGCGACTGATAAGTCTCCCATGGAGAATCCATCAAAAATGAGCCTTCCTCCCATAGTGGGTCTCACACTGTGCCAGTGTTGACGCAGGAAGTCAATAATGTCAATTAGCGTAATAAAAAAGACGGGGAAAAAGGAAGAAAGTGATAAGCCAAATGGCGAAAGGCTGTTGTTGCTCGGATGCACATGCCATTCCCATTAAAGATCAAATATGGCTTTGTTGTTAAGGAATTCAGAAATTGTGTTTTAAATGCTTAGGAAATGACAGGAAACTCCTATTTAGCATCAACTAAGAAAATAATATGATCGAAATAAAAAGAATTGTCAGCTTTATATGGTTTGAAATGGTATTCAGCTGAATTTGGTCCTGGCATTACCATGAAAATGAGAGATCTGCCATTTTGGCCATATAACCAAAGCCATAAAAGCCATGTTACATCAACCTACTCAGAACGAGTCCTACAGGCATTAAAGATTAAATTTACAAGCCTCATCATCCACAGATACAACACCGCGGTGTGCTATAAAGCCTTTTTCCTCTGAATAATGTAAAAACATAAGGACATGTAATGGTCTAAGGGTGTTTTGTGTGTGTATCATTGCAGCGCTTTGGTGGTGGGTGTGCTCTGGTCTGGCTCTGTTCTCTGAGGGCAGTAAATTGCAGTGTGTGAGGGAGGTAAAGGCAGGGTTTCTGCAGCCACGGATCTACGGGTGCCCCTGCCCCTGATTACAGCCTGCCCCTACTCTGTCCCCCATGCTAAAAATGTACAGCATAATGGCACATTAGTGTCCACTGGAGCATACAAATGCTCCTACTTTGCACGACACCAAGAAAAAATAGCTTAGATTCGACACATGCTGAGTTTCTGACGAATGGTGTGCTAAAATATAATCTCTTTAACATTTTGATGCAAACCCTTGCCAGAATAATGCTGCTGAAGGAAACAATAGTGAAAAGGACATTTTTTTAGATATTGAGGGATTTTTTTTTTTTTTCTCGATTTATACAAGTCCTTCGTTAGGTTAAATGTTCCATCATAAAACAACCTAAATCCTAACCCTTTAAACGTGTCTTTCAAATCTCTCTCTCACCCTCTAATTTGGTAGATGTCGCAGGTTAAACAGATCAATAAAGGATTGTCTTAAATGCTGCACTCAACCCTCTTAACATATGTTTCAGCTGAAACACACTGCTTCCTGAGCTTTGAACGAGGAAAGCCATAACTTCATTATAAATGAGTAGAGATCACATTTCAAATCAAATTCAATCATTAAGTACTGCATCACAGGAAAATAGGCTGATGAGTTTGTGTGCATCTATGTGTGTCTACATGCACAAACCCATCACATATCTATTGGAATTAAGACATCATTCCTGTAGCCAGAAATGTGACCATATGACAGTTCATTACAGTGTAAATCGAATGAACTGTATCAGTGAAATAAATTCTCAGAAATGACAGAGAATTGTAGTGTTTCTTTAACCTCTTATTTAGTCATCAGGATTGCATTATTAAGTAAATGTTCTACAGATGAAAAAAAAAGACAAGAGGAAGAAGTTTAGTTTAGAGAAATACAAACCAAATGTTTTCTTTTTTATTGTTGTAACCTCTGTAGACTCCTCATAAAAATAGCATTGCTTAAAATAAGGACAAAAGAAAATTGCTGTTGGAACGATCTCCATAAAGGAAAGTCCATACTTCACACATTCATTTTAATCTCTTTCTCAATAAAGAAAATCTGAAACCATGTTAATGTATACCTGCAGCAAACCATCCAGTCACTGCAACCGTCTTGTAAGTCTCGCAAACTAACATCCAGTTGAGCCCTTGCACTACTAATCTGAGGCAACTGTTGTAATGCATTTACTAAATTAGCCCTAAAAGCCATTTAAATCAAACTTAACGCAGTAAATGATCTGAAAGAAACAGGAAAAGCAATCAAAATCCAACTCATGAAACTGGATGAAAAAACCAAAGGATAGTCAATCGAATTTGTCAAAAATCAAGAATAATATTAGAGTAATAGTCAGAAGGTTAAACTCAAAAAGCAAGCAGGATGTCTGTTCTGGAAACATATCGTTAAATGCTTGCTGCAAAACTATGGTGCAGCCAAAAAAAAAAAAAAAAAAAAAAAAAAACATTTGGCTGGGAGCTGCAGAACAGCAACTCTGTGAATCCAACTGCTCCATTCTCTCTCGGTGTCCGTCCTGTGTTTTGCTATGTTTTGTTTCCTATCTCTTAAGCCAGTCTCATTTATTGCAAGTATAACATTTGGCACAATACAAATTCTTGGTGCTTTTAGAAGATAAGCCTTTAAAGATCAATCAGTGGACAGTTACTTAGAAAGTTCTCTGTATAAATGGGACTTTACTGCATCATGTACAGCATGGTCTAAAAATCACAGGTTGCCCCTTTTCAAACAAATCTGTCTCCGTTTGCAATGTCGTATCAGCATCATCACATTTTCCCATCTTAAATAAGAGTTACAAGTTAGAAAATAGTTTAAATTCATTTTCACTTTTGTATAATCTGTTTCTTGTCTCATCCCATAGTGGATTCATTTATATATTTATATTAATATATTTATGTATACGCATGTACAAGAAAAACAGTCCCTTTTTGCACTGGGTACAAAAGTAATTGCTGTCTTTTCTGTTGTGCATTCTATTGCATGTTTTCATGATGAACAGAATAAAAGACAGAGAAGGAGAAGGCTGTAGGAATGTTATATCTGTGTTTCCTGTACCTTCTCATTTTTGTGAGTTTTGAACATGTAGGATTCAGGTTGGTGGATGGTGCTGATGATGGTGGGGCGGGGATGGTGCAGGGAGTTCCCGATGTTGTTTTCTGCCCAAGGAGCAGAGTGTGCTGGTCTGTAGGAGCTGTAGCTGGGTTTGTAGGTGCTGTTGTGATCTCTCAGGCTAGGTAACATCATCCCACTTTCACCTGGTATACTTGTCCCTGCATGGGTGGTAGGAACATTCTCCCCCATCTGAATGACCTCTGTAGTCCTAGCAGCTCCCACTGCGCTCTTTTGCTGGTGCCGTTTACGCAGCTTGTAGAAAGCAATAAGCATAACGGCAGCGAGCAAGGTGACTGCCACAAAGCAGCCTATGATGATCTTGGTTGTCTTCATAACCTCGTCAAGACTGGCAGGTGGGCGCGTCGTTCCACGCACCGTCGGTACAGAGACCTGTCGAGGTGTTTGAAGTAAAACTGTCGGTGTAGAGATAAAAACTGGCTGAAAGACGGAGGGAGAGGCGGTTACCGTCTTTGGCTTGATCACTTCCTGTGAGGTGGGCTCTACTTCCTCTACTGTCACCGTAGTGAAGTAACTCAGGTTAGAAGTGTTGAGCTCAGCCGCAGTCACATTCAGGTAGGCCGAAGCATTGGAGTTTCCAGCCATGTTGGTCACCATGCAGGTGTACACACCTGTATCTGCTGGCAGCACATTGGAGAAGTTTAGTGTTCCATCATTGAGCACTGATATCCGTGGGTGATTAGAGCCATGGGTCAAAACTGTTCCATTTGGCAGAAGCCATCTAACTGATGACATGGGGGCCGTACGACATTTTAGCTCAGCTACACGTTCAGCAGAGATATTAAGATCCCTTGGGGCATCCAGTATGAAAGGTGCTGAGCACTGGAAAGTGCTCTGGTCCACCTCCACCAGGTAGCGTCCACGTAGGTAAGCAGGGGTGTGGCAGCGGCCACAGCAGGTGGAATTAGTGGGAATGTACTCCCTCAGCCACCAAGCCAGCCACACAACATCACAGTCACACCGCCAAGGGTTGTGGTGCAAATGGAGCTCCACCAGGTAACTCAAGGGCGCAAAAAGGTCATGCGGCAAAGAGCTAAGGTTATTATGGGCCAGGTTGAGCTCAACCAAGGCCGTGACATCATCAAATGCATTTCTTTCTATAGTGGTGATCCGAGAGTTCATAATCCACAGCTTTTTCAGGGATTTCAAACCCCTGAAGGATCCAGGTTTTATCTCTGGAAAGTAGTTCTCAGACATTTCTAGCTCCTCCAGTCCAACCAAAGGGGTCAGGACTGGCATCTCCCGCAGGTTACACATTCCAAGGTTTAAGTATTTCAAGTTGTATAATCCCTCAAAAGCACCCTCAGAAATATACTCCAGCTTCTTTAACTCTCCCAGATCCAGACGCATCAAAGAGGGAACGCGGTTAAATGCGTAGGAAGGTATGCTTTCGATAGGGTTGTTCCTGAGCCATAATTCCCGCAGTTTAGACAAGTACTCAAAAGCGCCACTTGGGATCACCGTCAAACGGTTGTCGAACAGCTCCAGTGTGTTGAGGCTGTTGAGGCCGCTGAAGGCCCCCACCTCAATCTGCCGAATAGAGTTCCTACCCAGTTGCAGTACCTCCAGGTGACGGAGGTGTTGAAATGTTCCAGCTTCAATTGTCTCTATGCTGTTCTCCATCAGGTTTAAATGGCGTGTGGTGGCAGGGATGCCAGGGGGCACTCGAACCAGGCCACGCCTGGTGCACACGACCTTAACGAACTGGTTACCACAGGAGCAAACAGCAGGGCAGGTCAGTGGTCCGGAGGGGTTGGCGCACACACTCCACGATCGCACCATGAGGTAGACTGCACAGAGCAGGGCTGCGTTCCAGGCACGGTGCACAGTTACCTGCCACAAGAGACTCATGATGTGGCGCGTTCATAATTCAACATCGCGTGGGGATTCGGCTGGGGAACGGAGAACAGTAGCCCTACCCTGGTTTGAGCAAGACTCTGCATCTGTTTGCCATCGACAGTGCAGGATGGTGCTGTGTTAAACACAGAGAGAGAAAGAGAGGGAGAGATGAAAGAAGAAAAAGATGAGTGGAGAAGGGGAAAAAGCTGACCAACAGAATAAATATGTTGAAATAGAAGGCACCTACCTCATTAGCTCTGAGTTGTCCTTAGTATAATCCTTTATTTTGAAGCAAAACCCCAGCACCATTCACTCATGTTTCCCACTAAGATCACTGCACAACATTTTCAGCTATTTCTCTCTTAAAAGTAAAGTGGAGCATGAACTGATCTGACAAAATGGCCCCTATTAATCCCAGAGAGAAGCAGCATTTAGTGAAACTGGTTCAAGGGGTAAGGCCCAGTCAGTCAAGCAGGTGCACACATCCAGTCAGCTTGGAAAAGATCTCCTCTCAGCTCCCTCATTGATTGTCCTTGGAAGGCGACGCTGAATACCACTGAATAATTTTCACAAGACTCCATTGCCAAAGTACATGCACATTAAACCAAGGTAAATATAAAAAGAAAAAAAGAAAAGATAAGGGGGAAAAATCCCCAAGTCTTCTAAGATTTGTCTTTCCCCTCGCAGTAGACTAAGTCGCTTTTTTTTTTTAGTTTGCCATCTTCCACCCCCCACAACACTTGTTCAGCTGATTAGCCGTGCGCTGATTAATCCAAAAAGGCTAACAGACGCACACTGCGGTCATTCCGTCTTGCTTTTTTTAACTCACTCCGCTCTCTTGTCTGTCGCTGTAGCAGCTGCGGACTGCCGCGTGCACAGTTAGCAATAATCCATCAATTTCTCCGGAGGGGGGCTTGGGGGTGGTGTTGCGGGAGCAAAAGGGGGGAGGGGGGAAGGAGGACGGGGGAGCAGCAGCAACAGCAGCGCAGCAGCGGTGAAGATCTCTCCCTATCCGCCGATCGCTTGCTCCCCGTGCTCTCTCTCTCTCACTCTTTCACTGTCTGGCTTGCTCTCTCTCCTTCTTCCGTTCTCTCTCTTTTCCGTTTCAGGAAAAAAAAAAGGATTGATGCCGCTGTGTGACGTGTGGCTAATTTCAGAGAGATACCTTGCAGAGGATTCCGTAGTTTGCCCTCCCTCCCCCCGTTGTGGATCCTGCGGTATTCCTTTATTTTCCCTTGTCTTGAGGTAGTAAGTTGTGGCAGTTCGCCTGCTCTGGCTGTGAGGCTGCGGGTTGGCAGAGGCTCTGCAGTGGGAGGTGGGCAGCAGAAAAGCACGCGAGGGAGAGAGAGAAAGAGAGACACGCGCAAACACACTCAAGCACACGCGTGGCAGAGAAGACTGTCAACGGTGGCAGTGGCGAGAGCAGTGGTCCTCACCTCCAGCGCTCACCCTCCTTTCTGTATTTCTCTCTGTGTGACTGGGTTGCAGGCGGCAGAGTTTTCTCCTCCTTTTGTCCTTCAGTGGAAACGTGAATGTACTGCTGACGCATCCCGCTCAGAGCAGTGCATTGGTTTGATGCAGTGTTCTTGTGTATTAACACATTCTCCCCCTCCTCGCTGAGTGTACTGCCTCTCTTTCTTTCTCTCAGACACACACCAATACACTCTCCAAGTCTTCCTGGTTCACTTTTTTACAGTTTTTACGTCTCATTATTAGTTTTTTTTTTGCCTCCACTTGCCTTCTTTCTTTTTCCCGCCTCTCATTATTTTGTTTGTCATTCATCTCTGTCCAAACTTCTCTCTCATGCTGTCTTGTGCACATACACTTTCTAAGACTTTCCACTGTACACACTCTTTCCTTACATTTTTATTGTTCATTTATTTAGCTATTTTTGTCCATGCTCCATTTCTCTGTCTCACTTTTTTCTTTCTCTCTGAAAACCTTTCTTTTGTATACTGAATATAGTGTTTCAGTGGCATCATTTAAAATTAAATTTTCAATTTGAGGACTATGCAATGGGAGAGATGCTTCTCGGAAAATACAATTTATGTAAAGTGCATTTGCATTAGGAATGTATCTTCATACTTTCATTTGAGTTCTCCAGATGATAACAGCTAAGAAAATTAAGACAATCATGATACTATAGACGGCTTCCAAGGATCACTAGGGTGACACTATCTTTGTGTGTTTGCTGACTGTGCTTGCATTGTCCAGTCTTAAGGGACACCAAAAAAGCACAGACTAGCGAGAAAAAAAAAATACTGAAGACTGTGGTTTGGTGAGACAATAAAGCAACTTGAGTGGGTAAGGAAATAAATAAGGTGGGTTGTGTGCTGGAATTACAAAACTTGAATAAGGCAATTTCAAATTTCCCTGCCTTCGTGTACTGTAAATGGTAAATGGCATTGCCATAATTTACTTTCACTTGTGCTGTTTCAAACGCTTATAATTAAATTTTTCCAATGTAGCATGAAAGCAAACTGTGCAACTACTGTTCCGCTGACCGGTATTTATCTTTGATTTTTACTGACACCTATCTGTCTGGATGTATTATTGAACAAGCTAATGCTTTAGTAACTGATGCCATAGTAAAATGTGCTGTTTTTTCACTAATCATACCTTTCAACACTCCCGTTTTTCCCAGGGTTTCTCCCGTTTTTTTTTTTTTTTTTTTTAGCCCTATCTCCCGGAACCCTCCCGGTTTGTTATTTCTCTCTGGAAACTCCCGTAATTTGCATGGTTCAAACTCCTTTATGAATAATCGGAACAATATGTTTGTCTTATGTTGACCAGTTGCCAGATCATGTATTAAGTACATTATATTCACACAAGCCACACACCATATACAATTTCAACCCGTTTGTCATTTAAACCTGGCAACCTATAACTTAACCCAGTTGCGCAATTGCGGAAAGCTCAACCCGTAAGCGAGCAAACCCCCGTCGCATTGAACGGTCCCCGCACAAAATAATCTCCTGGATTTTGAAAACCAAATGTACAATTTCGCTATGACGCTAATAGGTGACGCTAATAGGTGATGCAAAATATAATTTGCTAATTTTATTTTCAACACGTCTGCCCCCATGAGACAACCAGTTCCATATTTGAATCAGCTTTATATAGGCTAGGCTACTGATATGACAGGATCTCATGCGAGTGTACACTATTTTGAACCAATTTTTCAATGATACATTTTTTTTTTTTGTGCAAAATTTGTGTGTGTGTGGTACACATTAAAGTGCTAATCTCTTAAGCTTTCCCTTCTGTAGCATTTATAATTCACGAATTAGCTAATCATTCTCGCACATGTTCTCAAGTGAATTTGAGCTAACATTCATTTGTCTCATGCTTCCAGTGGCTCTACAGGTTTAGACCACTGAACTGGCCTTCTGTGCTGTCATCTGGAGAATGAGCAGCAGTGCTAGTTGACATCACACAAGAGACAGCTCTCTCAGGGGTCTTAACACCTCAGGAGCCCAGCTGAGTTCAGTCAGGACCACTGCTGCTCACATCAGCACGTCCAATACATTTCTACTAGGTCACATGCAACATGTAGACTTTAGTGCTAAATTTATTCATCCGTCAAACCAAATCACTTTTCATAACATTGCCCATCACTTCCCCTCTCCATCCTAGCCACCAGAGGAAGCGACATTTTTAAATCCTGTAACCAGACACTTTAAACTGCACCAGGACTGGTGATGGTAAGCACTCTCGCCTTCATTCGTTATGGTTGCTGAGTAGAGCAGCCAAAATCACAGAATGGTACTTTTGGACTGTGTCTTATCATCTGTTACAGAGTTAAATGAAGAGTCATAGCACTGTTGGCTGGCTCACCATGAAGCTTTTGCGCACCGGGGAGCTATATGAATTATCCTAGTCTGGGTGTACGGCCAATTCTTTGACCCCCTATTTAACAACTCACCAGTGGAGGTAATTGATGTCCATGGAGCATATCTTAGTGCTAATATCATTATAGAGGTCGTATGCATGGAAAGGTCGGGATGGAGCATGCAAGTTCTTCTACGATTCGCTCTGCTTCACAGTGAGCTGCTGAGTTTATTGGAAGTGTCAAATGGCAACCATACAGCAAAGCAGCAAGGCGGAAAAGCTACACTTGCTGGAAAGACTGCTCATGACTGATTGCTAATGATTATAGGGGAAAAATGCAAATTCTCCTTCCTGACTGACTACAAATCTACCATCCTTCTTTTAGTATAAGTAATATTTGTTATATTACATTAATTCGCTGTATGTCCAACAAGACTATACACAAAATTGATTTTCACTTTTATATGGTGCTCATATTTTTTTTATTTTTTTATTTTTTTATTTTTTTGCGGTCACAAAGTGTTCAGATTCTTGAAACTATGCTCACATAACACATTTTACACAAGATAGCATTGCTATATTCAGTCATACCGTTTTTATTTCATAATAGGCAATGCCCCTCTGGCTTATTTGATTGAAGAAACTTTATATAATTGCCCTCAATTTGGCCTACAAAGAGAGCTAGCTCTACATGGATTTATTTATTATTTATATATATATATATATATATATATATATATACCAAATACAATTTTTGTAACCCAACGCAATGCTAATTGAGAAAATAAACTAGCTCAAAATGTTCTTTTCAGTGTCATGTGAAATTGTTAAATAGCAAGTTTCTCTTGGGGGACTCAAATATTTCCCCTTTTGCAGAGATACCATCACAAAATATTCACAACAGATAAAGCCTTTAAGTATTTTATTTATTTATTTTTTTTAAATTTTATTATTTCAGAACACGGTCAACAAATGACATAAATTAACTAAATACAAAACCAGGTTTTTTAATAAATAGGGGTGTTCTGTATATTTGATTATATTAATATTTAAACTTTAGATTAATTTAAAAATAACATTAAAGGTGCCAATTGGAATAATTGAGGTAAAAATATCCAAAAAATGAGCTACACACATCAAAAGAATAAGAAGAAATAAGTGCAATGATGTAATTAAAAAACTGACAAGTTATAGTGCTGCTGAGATATAAACTTAATTAGCATGCTAAATTACTAGCCCCGGCCCGGCAGGTGTCGTAATACCAGTTTCGGCCATGGGAGGCGGTATGCGAGCGGGCAACATTACCACCAGCCAAACTGCAATAGACGAGTAACTCGCGCAGCTTTTGTGTACTTAAACCTGATGTCAGTCATGTGGAAATACAGCCCACTACTAAATTTCAGTTCAGGGATGAGTTAAAAAAAAATGATTGGTCGATATTATGCATGAGGAATACATTTTGGTAAGTTGTAACATACTGCATCTTTCAACAGTGTTCGTGTTCTTTTACCATAAGCTAGTAGAGATGATCGGTTCACGTGCGCTAGGGATCTGTCGTGTTACGTTTACAAGCGCCAAAACTGCATTTATTGTTTGAATTGCGTAATAAAAATAACAGAATCTGAGATCGGTCTCCGTGTCATTTTCTGTGCATGACAAAATGGATGTGTGGCGTGAGAGTGTGTATCAGTTGTGTGTTTCACGGTGAATTTGTGAGAGTTGGCAGCTCTGAAAGGCGCTAGCTTGGTCCACATCAGGGAATGCTGTCTGTCAAATTAATTCAAACTAATGATAAAAATGTAACATGAACAAAACGAATACTAT